ATAATGCGAAACCCCAAATATCAATTCTTGCATCTGTTAATCGAAGGCAAGATCGAAGACCGGAGGGGTATCGGAAGGAAGAAAATGTCTTGGCTGAGGAATGTTAGACAGTGGACAGGCCTACACGATGTACAGTGGTTAATAAACACCGATTTGCTAGACTTTTTGAAAAGGATAGGACTGGGAAATGTAACCTAAGGATGAAGAGGACCACAATAGATCCGAAAAGGTCGATATCCACCTTGAAGAATTTAATCTAATCTATTTTAAGAGTTAAAATAATGGCGGTCTTAAAAGTATTCAAATGAAAACGTCGGCGTCGTCACACTAAGCTAGCTGATCGTTATTTGTAGTACTTGTTAAAAGTCAAGAGAACAATATTAAAAAATAGAGAAATAATTTAAAATTGCCTCAGACCAAATATAAATAAAAATAAAAAATAAAATATATATAATAAGTTCAAAAAAATTAAGAATTTTAGAAATTGCTTATATTTTTTAAAGTATAGTTTGAACGTGAATGACGATTTGAAATAAATATTTATTTAGCTATTAAGAACTCTAAAGTTTTAAACCAACAATTCTATTTACGAGCTCGACAGTATCACGACGCCGTAAAAATTGTTTTAAAAAAATAATTTGAAACAATTTGTTCTAATTTGGTACATACCTGGAATTAGATAACAACATTCAACGCGATATGCGTCCTTATCTTAAGTACGTCTCAGTTAATGACATTTAAATCTTTTTAGAAATTTTCGATAAGGAGGTCGTTTCACGAATGAACGTAAGATAAATAATATTGTTATACGTTTTATTAGACCAGTTATATAACGGAAAAAACAATAAAAGGGGTTCTCTCAACACTTGAAAAATCGTAAAAGGAAAATTATCTTAATAGTTCCCATATTTGAAAAGCGCTATTAAGGTTTATAACTTCCGCTTTCAATAAACAAGCACATGAATGAATTACTTGTGTACGATTTACCAAATCAAGATCCTTTTTCAAGATTGAAAATTGAAAAACACTTGTCGTACATACTTGTCAGCATACAGCTAATGTCAATATCAAAATTCTTATAATAGTTGTTCAGTTAAATCAAATTTCAGTTTCTTAATAAGTTGAAATGAAAATCGATGGTTGCTATTGAAATGACGATCGATGACACGCCCCGTAAAATGTACATGCAAAATGACAGCGATCTTCATTTCCAAGCTATCTCTGACGTCATTTTTTCAATCGCATGGAATTATTTACCAAATATCCTATACTTATTCACACCCCAAAAAAAAGTAAGATTAAGAATGAATATTTCACCTTACTCTTTAAACTTACTTCTCTATATTAAAACTGATTTTTTGTGGATTTTATATATTTAGTTAATAATAAGTGTTTTTATTTCATTCATGTACAGGGTGGACCATTTTGGTTGTTTCTATAGGGTATCCAGGAAACCGTGAGAAATATTCAAATTTTGATACTGCAGTCTCGGGTTCTTTTTTTGAAAAAATCACAATGGCGCAAACAGATCGTGGCTATCTTGATCGGTTTCGAAGCTACAGGGGGATTCTCAAATTTTGTACTTTTTGAAGATGTTCGATAGTTTGTTTATTTCAACAAATACGCAAAAATGAATTAAACATTCTAAAGGCACTTTTCTGTGTAGAATGCAGTGGCGTAATCAGACTTTTTTTGAAGAAAATATTTTTTTAGATATTAACTATACTTATGTTTTTTTTTAAATACAACCCCCTGTATATTTTTAAATTTCCTGATGCAGTTTGGCATGGGCGTCTCGAAAATATATAACACTATATATATTTATTTTCACTATTAACTTTAAAATTCCAATTTATTTAAAGATATCGACTTTCCTCTTGGTAGGCCATGCCGAGTATTAAAGGAAACAAGCGAATATCTACTTTCAAATAAATCCATGTATTAGAAATTAAATAAATTCGAACAATACGAAGCAAATAAAAAATAAGTGTGACAGAAAAAAAAGAACATATTTTAATACAAACTCAATAAGTTACTTCAATCGGGCCTATTCTCAGTTAATATAAAAAATAAAAACACAAAGACTACATTAAATGTTCAAACTGCTGCCCATTATTATCTAGACGAAGTTGGCACCGTCTCTCTGCACGCTGCCGCGCCGCTAACAGCATTTCGAATGTGTATGTTGGTTACACTTTGCAAAGCCACAACAAAACTATCTTGTAACTCTTCTAATGTTCTATTTGCATTTCGATAAATTTCGTTTTTCAGAAAGCTCCAGAAAAAGAAGTCCAAGGGAGTGATGTCAGGTGGCCTAGGTAGCTAGAATTAAACTATTTTCTGACCTTTTAAAAATGGCTAGGTTTGGTTGCTCGCGCTCAAAATACCGCTCAAAATATAAATCACTGCCATTTTCTTGTGTTTGTTAGACTCAATATAACATTCTAACATATTATATTTCTCAAAATTTTCAAATTTACTCATTTTTGTATTATTTAAAATACCCACACTTCAATCTGTTGAAATGAAATATCACGCATCCATCAAAGCTATGTCCCGATCACCATGACAACCGTTAACTTTGTTACTCGGCGCGGCCTACTACCAAGTTAGTTTGTGGTTGTAGTTAATAGTGAAAATAAATATAGAGTGTTATATATTTTTGAGAAGCCCATGCCAAGCTGAATCAGGAAATTTAAAAATATACAGGGGGTTCTATTTAAAAAAAAACAGAAGTATAGTTAATATCTAAAAAATATTTTTTTCGAAAAAAGTTTGACTACGCCACTGCATTCTACACAGAAAAGTGCCTTTAAAATGTATAATTCATTTTTGTGTAGTTGCTGAAGTAAACAAACTATCGAACATCTTCAAAAAGTACAAAATTTGAGAATCCCCCTGTAGCAGAAAAAAACACAGGGTGTAAAAAACAACTCTTCGATTAACCCTGTATAAGAGATCAAATACTATAGATTATAATAAACTGATTTTACGAATTAAAGTTGATTCATCTATATACAGTTTGCTAAAAAAAATCAAGGAAATAGGGTTAAAAATAAAAAAATATAACATTTTAAAGTTGACGAAAATTTTTTCCGTTGCGTTTTTTTGCATCTGAGTGTAATTTGCTATGATCTTGCACCATACGAGTCGAGTCAACTAACATTATCATTAAAAGCACCAGTTCCTAGCCGCAATTTGTACGTACGCGAGCAACGTTTAATTATAAATAAGTCATCGCATAGCGCTACACAATTTTATAATTGGTAGGAGTATAATAGCACCACTACAATAGAGACCGCTTTAGAGATGTTAATTTTGGTCTGACCTTTCCTAACATGCAGCCAAGCCGTTGCAGCAGACTATGCGTCTGGTTGCATACAATTCGCATAGTTTTGTTTCGAAAGGCGAACGAGTGGTATCTTTCAGATACACATGCAGATCTCATTTCCATAATTTTTTATTATGGAAATGAGAGTTATGGCTTTTAAAATATTGGCTTGAATTTTATACAAGGACAGCATATTTCTATAACTTTATACATTTTTGATGACTGTTTCTAGCATTAAAACGCTATTCAATGTCAGAAATTAATACATTTTCATGTTGTTTTACAATATAATTAACTAAGGATAAAGTACAAACCTACAGTACTTCAGAAAAATAAACAGAGATTTACAAAATCAAATACTAATCGCATATAGACAACTTAATAAATAGCTTCATCGGGGAGATAAATATGGATGCTAGAGACGGGGAATATTGGAGTAACTATTTTCCAGTGTGATACATGCCCATACGATTGAAAAAAACTGTTTTGAAGTTTGGAAAGCATGAAAATCGATACATTATCGATCGATGTTTTTGTAAACTAGTCTAATAAATTTGAGAATACTCTCGCTAGATTTAAGTAGCAAATGTTATTCATCATCATCATTTTCAGGTTATTCAACATTGGCGTAATTAGGGGGGTGCCCGGTGGTGCCGGGCCCCCCCCAGGTACTGCTGGGCACCCCCCAGAGTAATCTTGAATTATGACTCTTGGCTACGGATTAATTTTTATTTGCTTGTGATGTAATAAAAATGAGGTTTTCTAGTTTTGTTTAGTTAATATTATTTTGTTGTGTTCAAAAAATATGTTACGAGAACACGGCTTTGATAACCAAGTCTATGAAATTTATTGATAGAGTAAATTCATGTAAAGGTTTCATTCAAAAAATGTGTTTTTTAAAATTATTCTTCATTTTTTAAAAAAACAAAAGCCCTCTAGGCCCCCCCTGGGTTCAACAACAGGCCCCCAGGCCCCCCAGGCTTTTTTTACGTAAAAAGCGTCGTAAATGTATATTTTTCTACTCAATAGTTTTATACAGGTACGGACGAAAAGTTATTACTTTTCAAGCCAGTTAAAAAACATCTAGGCGGTGCCCTCTACTAGTAGGAGTCATATTGACATCAAAATCAAATGTATCATGTCAAAAAACTCCCAGACACCAATTTTAATCCAAATATTGACGTTACCGCAAAAATTATTTGAAAAAAATCGAAATAAAAATGAAACTTCTACACCCTGTATCTCCGAAACTAAGCATTTTTGGACATACACCTATACGAACATTTTTACTTATTTTTATCTGCAGAATATGCTGCCGAAGTTTCCGGAATACAGTTCGGACCACCCTGTATATTCTTCTACTATTTTCAGTGTTGTGTTATATATTATTATGTCATTTCTGACTACTAGCTCGACAAACGAAAATGTTATTATTAAAAATATACACATATTAACTAAGTTAAACGTTTGATACATATAAAATACTTTATTTGAAGATATTAGCGTTTAAGATAGATTACTGAATAAATAACTCATTACAAATGATTTAATAACAAGTCAGTATAATATCGAGATAAATTTATATAGGAAACATTTAATCAAATTTATATTAATCAATATATTTAATATGTTCAACCATAAATATTCAACATTATAAAATTTAACCCAGAATATTAATCGATAATTTTGTTTCAGAGTGTGTGTTTGGAAAAGAAATTCGCGAGTTAGGCTCCAAATGGATACCAGATCTAGGACAACCAATAGGAATACTGTATTGTATGAGATGCGAATGTGTCCCGGTAAGTTAAAACATTTTATTTAAGAGCATATCATTTATTCTAAATACTACATATTATATTCCAAATACTTTTTATAGTTTAATTTTGTATGCCTCTTTTAATATTAGAGACAAGTACATCGTAGCAGTTTGTCTCAAAGTCCAAAGGGTATAATATATCGAAATTCTTCATTAACGCATGGAACAGCTAGATTCTGGAAACTATTTTTTCTTTGCTGCACTGTAGCATTAGGACTTATTGTCAGTCTTATTGTGCTTAGTAGTACCAGTGATTGTCAGAGGAAATGTATCACAGAAAAATCACACTACTCACACACTTCTGATGGTGTTATTAAAAACCTAAGTCTTTATTCTAACTTATTTTACGACTTACGACTATTCTCTGATATCTCAACATTTACAATGGGAGCGTTACCATACCACTCCACAAAGCAGCATATCTAATTAGTGTCTGTAATACGTAACGATGCGTTAATAGCTATGTTTTACATTGGATAATTGCTGTTATTAAATCTAAATAGCTTTTTTATTATATAAACAAGATAATAAAATATATGGAGCATTTCTTTAATTTTTTTATTGTTCCATCGCATGTCCCGTAAAATTCAAAACCGGTCAATTTTCCTTCAATTTAACAAACAACAATGCATCAAAAAAAGTGCTATATGGGGCCGAGCCTCCAGCATATTTTTTCCTACGTCTCACTATTTAAGTCAGTGATGTCATTGTCTCGAATTATCGGTCGGATTGTATTTAAGTCAATCAAAGGCGATTTTATTTGGATCACGTCTTAAGTACAATTGAAAAACAATTACGACTTGGATTTTTTATTCATTTTCAATTCGGATTACAGACCAGTTCGATCTCGCTTTCTTCCTGCCTCTTTGTCTACAGGGTGTAAATGTACACTCAGATGCAAAAAAAGCGCAACGGTGACATTTTTTTCAATTAAAGTGTTATATTTCTGTGTTATTTTTAGCTAGATTTCGTGATTTTTTTTAGCAAGCTGTATATAATTATACCAACTTTAATCTGTAAACTCAGTTTTTTATAAACTGAGTTTTTATATTTGGCATATTATGCAGGGTTAATTTTAGGCTGTTTGTTTTACCCTGACTTTAAAACACCCTGTGCAATAATTTCGTGTGTAAATTTTCCTAAAATACAATTTTACGGTGAAAACCATGTCTCCTGAATATTTTGTTTTTGATCGTGTCAATAGTTACGCCTTGGTTAATTTTTAAGAGCGAAATGAACTTGCCACCAACAATTTGCATTTTTTTTCAATTATCATTTCTTTTTAAAGTTATTTTTCAATATGACAAAGCGGTTTTGGTGGATTATTCTGAACTATATCTGTACTGTTTGGGAAATGCTTGGCAAGAGGGTTAGAGGCGTCAAGCAGTATCAGCTTCATTAAATGAATTTCGCTTGGTTCTTAAAAAGAATGGGAAAGCATAACGCTATATATGGTATATGCAGCCTCAATGACAGTATGAACGGACGCGTATACAGGCAGTTAGAGCAACCAAGGAGGCAATACAAAGTATTAGGTATATTTTTTGCGATTTTTTTTTTTTTTCTGTTTGTATACATGAGTATTAGCAGATGTTTTCTTTTAATATTTTTAGTTCTGTGATCGTTATTAATGTTTATTAAAACCAGGACTGTATCGTTAGTTTTAAACTTTTTTTAGTTACGACTTAATAGTCGCCAGAAACCATCTCCCTCATATTAAAGAATTACATTAATATGTAATGATTATTGGAAAATTACAAATTGATCGTGATCAGTTCATTTCGCTCTTAAAATTTACCAAAGCATGTATTGACATGAATCAAAAAAAATAAAATGCTCAGGAGTCATGGTTCTGACTATGACCAATATAAATTAGGAAAATTTACTCCTGAAATTATTGCACAGGGTGTGTTAAAGTTAGTGTAAAAAACAATTTCCGGATTAACCTTGCCAAATACTAAAGTTTATAAAAACTTAGTTTACAAAATTAAAGTTCATATAATTGTATAGTGCTAAAAAAAATCCATAAAATAGGGCTAAAACTAACAAAAAATATAAAACTTAGTTTACAAGTTAAAGTTCATATAATTATATAGTTTGCTAAAAAATCATAAAAATAGGGCTAAAACTAACAAAAATATAAAACTTTAAATTTGATCAAAAATTTCTCCGTTGTTTTTTTTGCATCTGAGTGTATATGAGCGAATAACTGAGATGACTAAGGAGATTTTCATATGACACTCTTCAATCTTAATCATTTTTATAAAGAGTTGTTCGATTATACTAGGCGAACCAAGATCACAGTATAAATCTTTGTACAAACACATTCACCAGACTTACAATGTAATGTAAGGGCGATCAACTCTGTAACCATCGGCATCGGTTCAAAGTTGGTCAAAGAATACCTCGAGAAGCTGCATAAATTAGGCAAAGAAAATAAAGTTCTCCTATCACTGGGTACCACCCCACAAAGGGATAGGATGGCAAATGAAAAGCAAAACGTTTTTAGCTAGAAAAGGAGCAAACACTTCACTAACTGAACCAGAACCGTTCTGCTTCTAAATATTGAAACCGTCTAAATATTGAAACTCCATGTGAAATTTCTCAGGACTTACCACCGAGAACTATCAAAGATTTTCATTAATTTAAGTAAGAATAATCTTCGGATTAACAGAACATTGCCTCCTCAATGTTGTTTATTAGATTGCTCAGTAGATCGAAGCTAAGAAACAACGGCGAATGCACGTTCTGTCGGCAAAATGGGGAAACTGGAGAACACTTCATCACTGAGTGCGCCGAGACGACAACCATTCTTGTCATAAACTTTGTGTATTTTGACTGATATCGGAGATGGAGAACTAACCTCTGCAAAACGGCTTTAGGATACTGGCTTTTGTCAAAAAACTTGAGGCTGTAAGCGATAAGTTATAATTCAAAAAAGGGTGGCACGATCGTCAAACTAAGTCGGTAGGCCAGTTTGAGCCGTCCAAAATACGACTTCAGTACATGACAGGCCAAATATAGCTTGTATATTATATACGGCTTGTATGGGGAGCTACTATAAAATTTGGATTACCATGTATAAGCAAATTACTTTGTATAGGAACGCCCAATCGAAAAATATGGATATGAAATATATAAAAAAATTATTATCTAAAAATTTAAGAGAGGAATCACCACATAACTTTTTAATATACTTGTTCAATAACACCCTGTATATTGGGCCGAGAAAATTGTTGCTTTTTCTGAAGGAATTGCTCGATCAAATAAGTATTAAATTATATATGAGAGGGCAATTGTATAATACACGGTGCCCCAATTAAATATTTTCCCACAATTGTTTTTCTCGGCCGAATGGAAAGTTGTACCGTATGATCAAATGAAAAAAAGATTGATACTATGGAACATTCACGAGTGATTTATCGCTGCATCGGAAATGACAAAATGACAGCGAAATTTCAATACTTAATCTGATTGTTAGTATGGCATTTGTGGAGCAAACGTTAGAATTTCAATCGTAAATATATATAGTAATTTTTTGGTGTCGCATTATAAACTTTGCTATTTTTTTTAATAAATCTATAGTATTATAATATTTTCACTTTTATATTTGTTGAATTTGTTGGATAGCTCTGCTGTTCACAGTTTTGATAAGAAGTCTGTCTAGGTTCCGGGGTACTGAAATCTAAAATGGAAAAGTTATCATAATTCAGAGGCACAAAAAGCTAAATAACTTATGTTACTCTCTAAAATGACTGATCAACCCGGACAAAGATATAGACACAAACAAATATAAAGAAAGTGCGTTTGAATTTCCGTGTTGACCGTACCGTTTAAACACTTGTAATGTATTCGGTATAGATATATTTTTTCAAAAATAATCTGCTCTTACTTCATTCTCATATTCAGCGGCGAAGCTTCCATTGATGCGGGTGATACGTCCCAATCCCTTCAAAACATTGTAATACGTTTTCATATAAAAAATCACTGAGATCTCCTATAATAAATTAAAATTCTTAGTAAATTTATTGAAATAATTTAATTCAATTTCAATTATTTGGTGTGTGTATTGGTCGAGCTTTATAGATAATGCTAAGACCTACGCTAAACGCTAAAAATAAAATATCTCTACAGTGCGATGATGCGACTGTCCACGTTACATCGAGAACACCATAAACGCGAGCCGGGGTCAGCGAACTTTCCGGCCACGATTACGTCTCCCGTTCGATGTTTTAGTCGATAGGTGACGCGGTTTTTTAAACACATTTCCTTTGCTGTATAAAATAGAAAATAATTATCGTTGCGTGTCGCGATGACCGCTTCTGAGTGTAGCTGTAAAATAGAAATAATTTTACAATCATTCTTCAGTTCTATGGTGTATTCAGAAAAAAATAACTATTGAAGAAGGACCTCCAAAGCATATTTTGAATATTAATGCTAAATTAAAATCGTGTATTCGTCATTTTAGTAAAAATGTTTATAAAACTGAACACTGGTTATGTGGTTGTAAGGCAGTTAATAACCTTTTTTGTTGTCCTTGTCTACTGTTTTATCTAACAGATACGTTCATAACTTTGTTTTATACCTAAATTCAATTATTTTCTTAAATTGGTTTGATTATTTTTTTAACCTGTGAGTCTAAAAAACTGTATTGTGTTGGTAAAGTGTTAATTGCAGTTATATACTTATTACATCCTCTTGTACTGACGCGACGCCACGCCGCTGCTCATATTCTTTAATTCTATTTAATGTTCCACAAAATGAATACACAAAAATGGCAGCATGTTGAATAGATGATGCAATTTGTTACTGTTTTGAAAATTTAATAAACATTCAGTTTTCATTTTAGTGGGTAATCCCAGGACTTTGGATTTAATATTCTCTGTTCACACTATTTAAATTATTACACACCCACTTTAATGATTATTCATGAATGTTTTATTCAAACCTATGCCAAGTACGACACTATTTTGTAAATATAGT